GGCACCACATAACTTCTAGCTCTTCTTCAAAGTCAAAATGATCATGAAAGGTCCAAGTTTGAACTGATTCAGGACATCAAGGCAGCCACAGCAGTGTTCCTGCAGACACTCACAAAAGAGGACTTCCAGAACTGCTTCAGAAAATGGTAGGCTGATGGGATAAGGGCATTTGAAGCAAGGAGTTGTACTTTGAAGGGGATGAATGGCAATGTGTCTTTTACTATAATAAAATGTTTCATTTCTTTTTTCTTTCTTTCTTTCTTTCTTTCTTTCTTTCTTTCTTTCTTTCTTTCTTTCTTTCTTTCTTTTTTTCGTACCGGGGATTGAACTCAGGACCCTGCACTTGCCAGGCAAGCAATAAAATGTTTCAAATTAAGCATTCACCATAGTTTTACATCAGATCTCATATTTCAATTAAGTGTTTGTTAAGATCTGCACCTTCTGTAGAGAACTGTGTGTCCTTTGTGGCCACAGGGGGTGCCCGTAGACAGTGTGCAGAGCACTGGGGACACACACTGGTTAGCTATGAGTGGCTATAACCAGTCATCACGCAGGGCTCATCAGCAGGCCTCCTGATGAAGACCCTGAGCAGTGAGCAGATCTGTGGTTAGCTGAGAGCTGAGTGTCAGTTGCTACATTCTCTAGCCCTTTGCGCCTGCTCCTGGCTATCCCAGACATTCACTGTGCTGAACCCTTCCTCATTACTGGTAGGTGCAGACAGGAATGGGCTTTCTGGGCAACGTTCCGCAAGACTGAGAAAGCTGGCACCCATGACCCTTTCAGCTTTCCCCACGGGAGAGATCTTGGGCTACGGGTGTCTCTCTTGGCACCAAGCCATGCCACCCTCGGGAAATGGTAGTTCAGGGAAAGTGAACCTATTCTTACCTTTTCAGTGCACCTAACCCTGAGATTTTGTTGTTGTTGCTCCAATAAGATGCTGGAACTGCCTAGCTAGTCTCTGCAGCTCCTGCTAAGTTATTATCATCCATGGGTGGTTGGAATCTCTATTCTGTCATTCATCCTAATTACTTTATGAGTAAATGGATTAAAATATCCAATTAAAATAGATTCATAGAATGGATATAAACATAATCTTACCACATGCTGTCTACAAGAGATTAATTTTTTATAAGAGATTAATTTTAAATGCAGACATAAGTAGTTTGAAAATGAAAGGGTAGAAAAACATTTCATACAAACTAACCAAGACAGAGATGTAGTCACTATATTAATATCAGATGAAATAACTTTTTTATTTTTATTTTTATGAATTTAGGACAGGGCCTACAGGGTGTACAGGCTGTACAGGGTCTCACTACACAAATCGGACTTGTAGTGATTCTCCTGTTTTTAACCTCCCAAGCGATGAGATCATAGGTGTGCACCACCACATCCAGTCTCAATCACAGTCTCAGAGCGCCCCTGGAGCAGGGCCAGCACAGCAGGCTGGGGATCCCGGCTGGCTGCTGCACTCTGCTGAAGCAGGCACTTTAGTCCTCTGAGCTATCTAGCCAACCCTTAAAATAGACTTTAAGTAAAAAAATTAAAAGGGCCGGGGAGATAACTCAGTAGAATAAGCACTTGTCTGGCAAGTGCAGGGTCCTGAGTTCAATCCCTGGTACCGCAAAAAAAATAAATAAATAAAAATTAAAGATAAAAAGAAAGACATATGTTTGAATAAAAGGTTCACTAGCACAAGAAGATGGACAGTTATTAGGCTGGATGTGGTGGTACATGCCTGTAATCCCCAAACTTGGGGGGCTGAGGCAGGAGGATTGTTTCAAGTTCAAAACCAGCCTGGGCTACAAAGTGAGCTCAAGACCACCTTGAACTGCACAGCAAGGCCCTGTCTTGAGGAGGAGGAGGAGGAGGAGGGGGGAGAGGAGGAAAAAGATGAGGAGGAGGACCCTAGACCCTATCTTGTATCATTTTTATAGGGCATCTTTACAGTTTACTTGGTTAAAATCATTTTTTTTTGACTATTCATAATCATCCTGTTTAACTATTATTGGACCCATATGTATACTTAATTATTTCTTTGGCTTTGTCTCCTCCAGACTCAAAGCTATATGTCCACGCAAGAGGAAAATGCCTGTGATTTATCGAAGGCCTTTAGATAGAACATCTAAAGAGTATATCTGACTGCTGATCAACAACTATGACCTCTTTCAGCCTGAAGAAGCTAGAGCTGTCATTGCCCATGATTCCCTCATGGCAGTTCGCGTTACTTCTTCAGAGGGGGGAATGTTGCAGGCAGCCGAGTTAGATAAAAATATAGGAAGACAGGGCCAGGCCCTGGAAGGAGATAACACAGAAGACAAGTTACCTTACAACTGTGGGAGGGATGGATGCTCCTGCTATGGGCCTGCCCTAAAGACCAAAGATCAAACAAATGCTTACCTCCCTAAAGATTAGCATCTGGGATTGATCTTCACCCTGAGAAAGCCTGGAAGAATCAGTAAGCCAATTACTGCTGGATGGCTACCAGATAAGATCCTGTTCTATATTCATACCCGCTTGCTACATGACTCCCTTCCCATTTAGTCCTGGACTTAATCAATTTTACCTGAGCAATGGTGCTTATAATTTCATTGGTTGACCATAGTTTTGTCCCACCCCACATCCACCTAAGTGAGTTCCCACTTTCTCCACCTTAGCCCTGCATGGCTTTACACTATAAAAGTCCCTGGAGCAACAGCTTCCCAGGGACAACTCGCTCAGGCCCCCCTCCTGTCCCTTTCTCAGGCACTTTCTTTCCCTCAATAAATATATTCTGCTCATAACCTCCATTTGTTCCTAAAATTCATTCTTTGGTTTTAGAGAACACAAATTCATCCAGGTCAGGTCAGGAGTTTCACTTCCCCCATATCATTTGGAGGTCCCTATATCAGTTTTTCTCCCTATATCACCACTGGCTGGCCAGAGGCAGGGACTGCTCTCTTGGAGCTTCGCAACTGTAAGTTATCAAATAAACCTCTTCACAAATTGCCCAGCTTCACATACTGTTTTTTTATACAACACAAAATGGATTAAGACAGATGACTTGTGCCCTGTACATACTAAAAATGACTCAACCCTAAAATTTTGGTCTCCTCTGCCCTTGACCCACTGTAATCCACACTTGCTGTCTACCTAATGACCCTGGAGGGGGTCATAAATGATTTACAACTCCTCTCTGCATTGCCTGCCCAGGCCCAGGTGTTGCATGGGGAGTTTTTGTCCTCTTCCCTGCAGTTGCCCCTTCTGTGGCAAGGGTGGTGGCTGCCAGGCCCTGCTTCCCCAGCTCTGAGGCAGACGCCTTCACACACCTGTGGCCACTAAACAAGAAATGAGCGGAGGTGGCCCAAGGCCAGTTGGGCTGGGTGTGTGCTGGCCCTGTGCACCCCATCAGTGCGGCGGGTGTTCCCACTTGTTGGGCGCCTCCTGGCGACTGCCTCTTCATTCTTTTTCACCCCAGATTTCTTGGCTGAGCACAGTAAATCATTAGGGCTCCAGGTGAATTAAGAAAATTCCCATGACTGAAATCAATCCTTTGTTCTCTTTAGTCATACACCCCGAGTGGGTATACGTCAGTTATTCTCAATCACGATGAGTGATAAAATTCAGGCCACTCCTCATCTCTGTAAATCTCTGCTTTAATCATGCACTTTCATGGTTCATTTAGCGCTGCTCCCTCGAGCCATCTGCTTGACTTTCTGGGAAACTATAAATGTGGCCCAGAATTGTTGTTAGGTAGCATCTAACAACTCATGTGACAATGTCCCGAAGGATCTGGATTACTGGCCAGCAAGTGGACATCTGCTCCCCAGGCCCAGCCTCCTCCATGTCCATTGCCGGCTATATTTCTTAGCAAGAGGTGTCCCACCTGACTACCTGGGCAAGCAGGATCTGGCTCAGGTACCCAATGTAAGATTTCAGGAAATTCCTTGTATGTGTCTTTACTGACTGCACTCTGCCAAGGACCTTTGTAGCTCTCAGACCTCTACTCAGCACTCCTAGGAAGGCCCCATGCCAGCCCTTAATTCAATAAAGACTTGGAAAATTTTTAGGTGGCACCTCCCACAGTTGGGTCCCACACAGAGCAGTGGCTAGGCCCATGGCACACTGTCCAGGTGACCTGAAGGCTGATTCAGCAACACGCCAAGCCTACCCACACAGCTGCAGCTTCCACCTCTGGAAACTGCTCTGCAGGTGACCCCTGTCCCCAGGGTGGGGCTTGGAAATTTGTTGAAGGCATCTCCATTTGAGCTCGAGAGATGACAATCAGGCTCAGTGTCCCTAACTTGGCTATCACGGTACAGTATTGGTTTCTGATGTCAAGGGATGCTTGGAAAAAATTCCAGGAGGTACATCTGAGGATTGGGACCATTGTGTGTGTGTGTGTGTGTGTGTGTGTGTGTCCCCCTTCAGCACCCTCTCAGAGCCTTCCCCATGTTCCAACTTGGTCTCTACTGCTGGATTCAGTAATGCTGGGTTGAGTGGCCAACCCAAGGACAGGACCTCACGTGTGACAACATCTGAGTACAGGAAATCCTGTGCTATTTACCAGGATGTGTATGGTCGGTCCACAAACTAAGGCTCCTCCATGTGTGGGGCTGGACCTGTTATGGCTGCCACCAAACTCCCTCTCAACTGCCTCTCAGATCAGCTGTGATGGCCTCTCACATACCAGAACTGCCGGCTCTTATCCTAGTTCCTCAAAGATGGGGAGGGATGATTCTACTAGTGCCACAGGCCTCCTAGAACTCTGCCTCAGGCACTGGGCCACTTGGTATCTTTTGCTGACTCTTGAGAAAAGAACTGTATCAAAGAGCCAGGTGAAGGCCAACTGTCACTACAAACATCAGCAGTGTAACATATGCAATATACTGGGGGCAACAGAGACCGTGGACTTGTGTAAAAGCAACACGGCCTGGAATCTATTATGCCTGGGTTCAGGCAGAGAGCACAATAAGACTGTCTGCCCCAAACAAAGAGAAGTGTTTCTTTTATAGGGATGAAAAGAAGGCAGAGGACACTAGTTGGGAAGATCCCTGTGAACATCTGTGGTGAGTCTTCTGGAAATCTTTCATCTCAGTAGGCAGAATACTTCAGTGTCTGATGTAAGTTTTCAGGCGTCTCCAGATGTCTCCAGCACCTGCAAAGTTTCTGGTCCTATCTTATCTGCTTTCCTGTGCTTGTCTACAATGACCGCCTCAGGGGCTGAGCTGAGTTCCCTGCAGGAGTTTTTGCTTCTGGAGGCAGGCAGTGTGGGGCCTGGGAGAGTTAGGCCTGGTTGGAGACTCACATGCGGGACTGCTCCAGATTTCTGTGTGACTAAGGGACCCTTGACAACCTCAAAAATTATAAGAAATGCCTGTGTGGCTGGGCGTGGTGGTGCATGCCTCAGAAAGGGGGGGGGAGAGCGAGAAATGTCCTGCTTACGGGTAGGGTGTGGATGGTGGGAAGGTTGTGAGTGTGGTAGGGGAAGGGAGGATCAAGGACTATTG